CCAGGGGTGGGGTGTCCCCGAGGGGACCCGCCGGCACGGGGCATCGCGCCGGCCTCCTTTCCCCGGGAAAAGGCGACAAGCGGCCCCCGAGGAGCTCCGCTTTGCTGCAGCTGCCGCCTGCCCCGGCGTTACCGCCTTCGCTGGGTGTCCGGGCTTTGTGCCCTGGGAGTTGTAACCTGTGCGCAGCGGGGGGCGAAGCTCCGTGCCGTGGTTTGGGGGACGGGGGGTGCCTGTCGGAACGGAGCGAGGGTCTGGAGGCGCGGGGAAAGGCGCTGGCAGCTTTGCCCGTACCCCAGTGCCCCCAGCTGCGCACCCCGACCGGAGCGGGGAAGACTGGGTCCAGCCCAGTGTGCAGTTCCCCACAGCAGCCCCCCTGCTTTGGCCGGCTCCCTCAGCCTCCCGGTTTGGGGGCAAGTTTGATGTGTCTTTCTGATCTCGCTTTTCTCAACTACAAACCTGGTGTGGCTTTAGCCTTTCAGGGCTACTTTAGGCATAGTTTTATTTTAAGTGTTTTGAGGTCCTCGGGCTGTTTTTAACAGCACAGTGATTTTCTTTCCTGTTTAAAAAAAAAAAGGGAAAAAAGCATACCATAGAAGCTAAAAATAGGAGATAATAGCTTTTATCTAACCACAACTTTGTGCATTGCATAGAAAAGGCTTCTAACAAGGACATAAGGATGAAGCGGTTCATGGCCATGTTAAACAGGAACAAAACCAAGGATCCCCCACCCGCCAAGCTGCTGGATCTAGCAGGACAGCTTTGCCAGGACCTCCAGAGCTTGTCTCCTAGTCTGGAGAAGCTGGTTGGGGCTGTATTGGGGTGCAAACACAAGATGCATTTCCTCACTAACATCCACGTTGTCCGAGCTTGTGTGTCCGTTCATATCCGTAATGGGCAGCATGACGCAGCCTGCAGACTCCTGGAGGTAGGGATGTGTTCTTTGTTTCTTCATGGAGACAAAAAGCAGTATTAGAAAGATAGTAGTTAGAGCTGTTAGCGCAGAGGTACCCAAACTGCAGCACGTGGAGCATTTCCAGCTGGCGTATGGCAGTGGAAGGTGATACGTGTGCATTGGCTGACCTGAAACACGGGATAAAGCCTTTGCTACAGGTAGTTACTATTAATCAGAACAAGGGGAGGAAGGTAATTGGGTGATGACGGGGTTGGGTGTAGTTTGTGAAAGCAGGATTTTTGTTCTCTAGCGTGGTGGTTCTTGGAGTTTTTCACAAACAGCGCTCAGGATGTAAAAGCCTTGGGGAGGGCTTGCCAGGATGGGAAGGTATGAGGACATCCCCTCAAGGTGAGGGATTTTGGCCTCTCGATCTCGTAATGTAGCCCTTTTCACCAGGGGAAAAGAAGGAATTAGGCAGGCAACTCCCTGCGTACATTAGAGAGGGTACAGTGAGCCAAGTACTTGGATAATGCTACCAGCTTTGTCAAACCAGTAGGAATCTCTGAGTAAGTTTCTACTTGTTGAGGAGTTTTCTCCTCTGTAGGAAGCCTGACTGACTATCTGGGGAAGGGTTTGCTTACATACTGTTGTGTTTTAGCATTGCAAGGCAGAAGAGAAGGAGGAGCTGGTGCAACTTTGGCATGAGATTCACTACCGGAGGGTTATGGAGAAACGCCACACGGATTTTCTGACGCCACTGCAGAAATTCCGTTGCAGGAAGAGGTACCGTGGCGTGAGGGAACAGAAATTTTTTTTTCTCTGCTCTAGTTAGCAGATGCAGGGAGTAGAGAGGCAGAGGGTGGTTTTGCATCTCAAGATGGCTGCTTCTTGGAGCTAGGTTTTTCTTGTTGTTTTGACCACTTGTGGCGATTCCCATGAGTGTGAACGACTCTTCTAGGTCCTTTTTAATCCTGTTTTCTCCTGTGTACAGGAATCCTCCACCTATTTCCCTTTGTCCTGAAGGTTTGAAGAATCGCAACTATTCAGAGGAAGTACGCCAGCAGCTGCACAGGTTTGCTGCAGAGGTGACGACAAATCCAAACAAGAAGCAGCGGGTAGGGATATGCTACTTCCAGTCAAGTCTCCTTGCCACAGAAAAGCAGAACTCTGCGATCAGGGGGTTGATAACTGGTTTTATTCTAAATCCTTGTGTTCAGAAGCCCCAGTGGGGCTGGGATTCCCCATATT